AATTAATATACTTTTGTATAAACAATTACTAACCTGTATGATGCAAATTAATGCCCAGTTGCTTTTCAGCTTTTGAAATATTTAGACAAAATTTAGTGTCCTGAAAGTTAAACTCTCCAGTTGTGTTTTTTTTTTTTTTTTTTAGGTAATGGACCATCACAGAGAGGTAAAAAGGACCAGAAAGAGGAAAATCTTTGATGACTTTGTTAATGGTACATTATTATTTCATGCTTCAAAGCAGCTTCAGATTATAATTGCCTTATAAAGTCATGCAATGTCTGTCATATATGAACCTCAAACTGTTTCACTAATTTATTTGTTTTATTTGATGTAGAGGCAGACCTTGAAAGTGACGTGACTGATATTGAGTTGACAGAGCTCAGTCAGAGTATCCTGCCAGCCCAAAAAAGTGAGTTGCCTAATTTTATTAATTATGCTACTGTAAGTCTGTGGCCTTATTTTAAAATAATTCCTTTGACTTAACCACTTCGCCCTAAGACTTTTGTAGGTTTACATGGGGGGGGAATCATTGCACATATGTTAAATTAGGGATTATGAGAAATTGATTAGAATTGCTTTAGAGCTTCACTGTAAAAGTTGCGTAAGAGTTCAGTTTAATAGTTAATGTTACTTTTCAAATACTGTTCAGTATTAAAAGCTCAGCATAAATTTTGGATTAATGTACTTTTTTTGTACAAAGGAAAAGCAGAACCTGACGGGAATACAAATAAAAAAGCTGTTGGAAGGACTGTGTCCTATCCAGATCCTCCTCCAAAATATCAGAAAACCCAGCAAGGTAATGGGCTCAGTTTGAAAATATGCTTATCTGATTGAACAAATTGGAGTTTTTATTTTGGAGAGGGGAGAAGAATATCATTAATTACAATTTTATTTTATTTACAGTTGTGGGGCAACACACATCATATGGAGGCTTTGCACATTCTTCCCAGAGTAAAACAAAAGGTAAAGTGCCATGACTTATGTAGAGATATACTTTAAACTGTCTACAGATTTGTTCATGTTCTAATTTGTCATT